AGGGAGAGGAAGGGAAAGTACTGTAGACTGAATTATATTCCATGACTGTATGATTAAGTCAAAATGAACTCATATTTATGCATGACAATAGACACTAATTTTAAAAAATTTTAAATAAAAAGTCAATATAGGGCTGGAGTTGTAGCTCAGTGGTAGAGCACTGTCCTTGCACATGTGAGACAATGTAGATTAAAATCTACAAATTTTAGTTGTAGATGGATACAATACACAATACCTTTATTTTATTTATTTATTTTTATGTGGTACTGAGGACTGAACCCAGTGCCTCATATGTGTAAGGCAAGCACTTCGCCACTGAACTACAATCCTAGCCCTAAAAATATATTTTTTAAAGTCAATATAGATAATCATTCAATATGTGGAAAATGCATTACCAAGTTAGACGACAAAGGATTTAAAAAATACTGAGATGCTGTGTTACTCAGCTTTCCATCACTATACTTGAGATAATCAACTAGTTTTTAAATTAATTAATTAATTTTCCAGTGGAATGCATTTTGACATATAGTACACAAATGGAGCACAACTTCTCATTCCTCTGGCTGTACATGGTTCAGAGTCACACCACTAGTGTAATCATACATGTATATAGAGTAATAATGTCTGTCTCTTTCTACTGTCCTTCCAATCTCCACAATCCCTCTCCTGACTCCCCTTTCCACAAACCAAAGTTCCTTCATTCTTCCCTATGCCCCTGCCCCACTATGGTTCAGCATCTGCTTATTAGAGAAAACGTTCAGCTTTTGCTTTTTTTGGGATTGGCTTATTTCACTTAGCATGATAGTTTCTAATTCCATCCATTTACCTGCAAATGCCATAATTTCATTCTTCTTTAATACTGAATAATATTCCATTGTGCATATGTAGCACATTTTCTTTATCCATTCCTCTGTTGAAGGGCATCTAGGTTGGTTCCATAGTTTAGCTATTGTGAATTGAGCTCTATAAACATTGATGTGGCTTCATCACTGTAGTGTGCTGATTTTAAGTCCTTTGGGCATAATCCAAGGAGTGAGATAGCTGGGTCAAATGATGGTTCCATTCAAAGTTTTCTGAGGTATCTTCATACTGCTT